ATAGTCAAATGAAAATGGAGATATAAATATCTGAGGTAAAATACTTGAGTTAATATGAATTATGCTTGATGACTGTGGAAGAGATGCACGAGAGTCTTTTGTAACCAACTGATACACTTTCTATAGTATGTAAGAAAGGAAGATTTTATGTGTTGTGTTTGTTTTGAAAATTAAAAATAAAAAAAACTTTAATTAAAAAAACAGGGCAAAAAAAGCATCAAAAACGGGCTGAAAAAAGCCTTGAAAATTGGCCAAAAAAAGCCTTGAAAACGGGCTCAAAAAGGCCTAAAAAACGGGCTGAAAAAAGCCCCCCAAATGGGCCAAAAGTCATCAACAAAGGGCCAAAAAAAAGCATTGAAAATGGGTAGGAAAAAAGGCTGGAAAAGGGCAGAAAAAAGCCCCCCCAAAGGGCAGAAAATGGGGTGTGCGGTGGCCAAAACCTTTTTTCCCCCTTGTTTTCCTCTTCTAAATTTAGGTACGTCTTATAGTCAGGTGCATCTTATAACCTGAAAAATACAGTAATACTGATTTAACCGTTCAGTTGTGCGTGACTCTTAGTGACTTTATAGGCAAAGGCTCGCCATGCTACCCTGCCAAGCACAGCTTCTTTCAGTTGCTCATTTGTGATTTGATGTTATCAAGCCAGCTTGTTCTTCGCTTGTCTCTTCTTTTTAATCCGCTAAACATTCCTAGCATCAGTGCCTTCTCCAATGAATTTGCGTGCCTGACGCATCTAAAGTAAGTCAGACACAGCCTTATAATTTTAGCTACTAGTGATGTGTCCAGTTTTATACAATTTATCACCTCTGTGTTAGTTACTCTGGAGCAGGAGTGTCAAAATGCACGGCCCACAGGCTGGATGCGTTACGCGCCGGCCATGCCTACCCCCGGTTTAGCGGATGCTGGAAACGTTGCGATACATCAGACGACAGCAATGTGACGATGCAAGTTTGACACCCCTGCTCTGGAGCAATAGGAATTCAAGAGAGATTGGACTTGGATCATTTGTGGCAACATAAGGAGTCTAAACTGATGACACATTTAACACCGTCTCCCAGCCTGCTCTTCTCCTGCAAAAATTGTCCTGTGGTTTCCCTTGGTTTCCTGTGAAGAGAACACCTGAAATTTCTATAGGTGTGACATTCTGACAAAATTAACTACTGCTATCCTGTCCAGCTAAATCGTTATTGTCATCTCCTTCAACGTGGATTCAAAATGTCTTCACCAGAGCTGCAGAAAATCAGCTCTTAATAGCTGTCGTCCGTGTCATTTTAAAGGAACTTAACATCCTTTTTCTTGTGTGTATTAAAACGTTTATATCTCTGTCATGATTTGTTAATCTCCGCGGGTATATGTAGGGCTGAAGGGGAAAAATTCACGTTGTAATCAGGCAATTCATTCTCAATAAACTGCAATTTTAAGAAAAGAGAAAACTTCAGTTCTTTTGTGTTTAGACTTTTGTGTTTATTTTGAGTATTTGTGTACTGATGATATTCGACTTTATGTTGCCACCCAGGGGTGATATTCACTTACCTTCCCTACCGGTTCGCAAACATGAGCACGTGGATGTGGCGCGTGCAAGCGAAGTAGATGAGTTAGTTAAATTCAAGTTCAGCTGAGTTAAGTCGGGTGATATGTAGCCATAACAACATTCTTTCCAGAAAGCCAAGGTCATCCTTTGTCTTTGCACCTCTGCACCTGACC